ATCATAATTTAGATATAATAGAAAAATCATTCGAACAAATCAGTAATTCAAACGAAAAATTAGAAATAATAACTAGACTAAACTCATTGGCGAATGCCATAGAAAGCATCATGATGATTTTATTTTATTTTATTCAGATATGAATTTACCTACCATTGAAATACACATAAGAACAATACTACTAGTAATATCTAAGATAATCCTATATGCGTATTTATGTTGGTTTGTTAATAAATAAATGCATAATTATAGTTATCTAGTTATAATAACCACTGTGAAAACGTAGGAAGTTCCAATAACAGCCTTCGCTTAAATTAACTTTAATTTCGCATCCCTTAAACTCGGATGCTGCATCTTAAGGGGGGGATGTTATATCCTAACTACTAAGTAAAATGTTAATAAAAATAAATGCAAGGGTTGCATCACGTTTTACCACAACGTGATGCAAAGACAGCGTCATAATTTTGATATTAAAATTAGTGAGTTGCTGTTTGGACTTCGCGCGGGACCCTCATTACCTTTGTATTAATTTCGAGTAAAAGTTTATTCTTTGTTAGAAAAGTGTTTTTTTTTTAAAAAAAGACTCCTGACTCACCCCGTAACAGTACAAACTCACTTACATCAAGTATTGGAGTGCTTAGATATTAACTTAGTTGTTGTTTTTAATGTCTTGGTGGTAGGGTCTTTTTCATCTTTTTATACGTGCTTTCATCCAATAGTAAGTCAGTTATTTTGCTATTATAATCTGACGTATTCATGACCACCTTCGCGTTACATTTATTTGCACGGAGGATGACAAATTTTGGATCTTCGAGGAAGGTCTTCAGCGCGTAATATTCATCTCGAGTAAGATTCAGTCTGGGCTGTTTGTTTGCACGCAATATTGACGAAACGTCTTAGCGTATTGTCTCCAAATCTTCCTTTCTTATGTTGTTTTTAACTAGACAATCCTCAACGTCACAAATAATTTCTTCGTATGGAACACGACGAGAAGCCACAGCGAAATTCAAACCCTTTTGCAAAACTGAATAAGCATAGGTGGCGTGGCCGACCCTCACGCCGATGCGTGTAACGTTTCGGGACTTAAAGGAGGCACAGTTGGTTGTGAAGATCAGAAACATCAATATAACCACAAAGAATTTTCATTCCTATTAAAATTTGGATCTTATGCCCTACGCACTCTAAGGGAATTTAAGCCCAGAATTCCCAGGAGAAATGAGGTGGGTTATAAATGCAGATAATATGTGTAATATGTGTATATATACACTTGTACAGATATCTTAGGAATGCCTTCAGGACTTTTTCTAGCGTCCTGGTGTAGGTGCTGTCATGAGGATGCCATATACAACTACCTGCTTCAAGTTTACTATGCACAAGTGCGTTGTAAAGGAATTTAATGTTTTGGGAATTCTTAAAATAACGGCAATTCCGAAGGATGATACCTAAACATCTAACACTCTCTGTCACCAAGAATAAGTGAACGTGAAATGTAAGACAATCATTAACCAATCTGTATTGATAACGTATTTAGGTAGCTTGCTTCCAAAGGTCATGGATGACACAGCACTTTTCATAGTTAAAAAGCATCTTATTTTATTCACTCCATTCAAGCACTGAGTCCACGTCGTGTTGCAGCAATCTACAATAGATTCTTTCCTAATCTCAAATGCCAACTTTAGGTCGTCTGCATACGTTATACGTTTTGCATTTTTAATAATTTGGACATGGCGGTTATCATGATTAGGAATAATAAAGGACCAAGTACAGCCCTGATTGACTTCGGAGCGAGTGTGATAAGGTAAAGTTTAAATACATAACAGCCGTATTTTACATGTTGCTGACGATCGCGAAGATAATTTTAAAATAAATGAAGCAAGAGGAGCAAACCCTAAGTATTTTAGTTTACCTAAGAGAATGTCGTTGTCAAACCTATCAAAAGCCTTCCGGAAATCGAAGTAAACAACATCAACTTTATGTTATGACCGTTATCCATACTCGTCGAGATGTATTCCACGGCTGTTAAAAGATTTGTTTCGACCGACCTTCCCCTTCTGAAACCGTTTTGCCGTATTGCAGAGGATGGATGTTAACTTGCGAATAGGTTACGTCGTGTACAACACGCATAAATAATTAAACAGGAGCAGATAACACGGCAATGGGACGGTAATCTTCGACGGACAACTAGCAGTTGACTTCGGGACAAGTGTCACGAGGGACACTTTCCACAGAACAGGGTACTCCCTAGTATGGATAACTGTGTTTGTAATATGACATACAGAAATGACCAGTTAATTTTTGAACATTTAAAAAAGAGAAGACGGGATACCATCAGGTCCTAGAGAGCCATCCGCTTTCATTTTACTAATACATCTTTTTATGTCATGATAGTTAAGTTTAAAAATATTTACTTACGCACAACTAGATAGTGCGACGACTCTTCGAGGATGGAAAAAAACTAAGCGACGACTACTACCTTCAACGTGATTTGTTGTGGCGTTACCATTGTCACTCACTTTTTTCCCACAACCACACTCACACTCACCCACACTCATAGGCAAAACTGAACTCGAGGTGTTTTTGTTTTTATTACTGCACGCACTAAGGATTTCATGCACTGGACCGTTTAAAACCATCGTCACGGTTAAATGTTTTTTGTACTTCGTGATCTCGATGGCTTCTCGTACCAACCGTGGTATGTAGTGACGTTTTGTCGACAGTACCTGGGGGCTATGCAACTCGATCCAATAGTTAGTGTCAGTCTGTGTGATATGTTGTGCTATAGCTAACTTCCGTGTATCTACGTTTTTTTACTGCTCGGATGTATTCCTTCATACGATCGACAATTGTTCGGTTAGTCCTACCAATATACAAGTTCCCACAACTGCAGTTCACTTTATAGAAACCTGATGTTTGTAAAGGAAGGTGGTCTTTTGGTGAACGTAACATTTTTCCTGTTTTGGTTAAAGAGGTGAAAACTGTTTTAATGGAAAACTTCCTTAGCAACCTGCCTATTTTATCTGTCACCCCTTGTATATAGGGCAGAAAAATTGGTAGTCTCTGTACTTCAATTTGCTTCTTCCTGTTGTGTATTGGTTTACATGTTTTTATTTCGTATCCATTCTGTCGCAAAACCGTCTTAACGTGCTCCTGTTCCTGTGGCAGATGCATCACAAAGATCATACGCTCTATTGGTTAATGACCTGATTACCGAATGTAGGTGTTTTGGGGGATGTTGTGAAGTGGCAAGTTACGAAAGCTACAGTCGAAGGACTAAAAAAAACCAGAATACTTTTTACTAAATTTAATAAGTCATAGCTTTGACAAAAATAAAGAAATATAAAATATCTCTAAAACTAAAACGAGATGCGACAATGTTCGATGTTGGAACCAAAGTATTTTCATTCCCATGGAGTCGCGCTGTGCTGGTCTCACCATCCCACGTTAAGCTGACCATGCGCCTCGTGCCTTTGATGTGTTGCAGTCCATGCTTCGAAGTAATGTTGCAATCGCTTTGAATCATTGTGCTTAAGCCAAATTACGAGTGGCGCGTTACGTAACTCCTCCACTCGCAGACCAGCAACTATTTTCTAGACGTTGTAAGAAAATATTGCTGGCATCTCACGTTCGGCTTGATGCTCTTGTTCCGATTTGCCTATCTTAGCCTTTGAGTTGTAATACCGAACAACGAGGATGATTGCTAGCGTACCCACACATAGCAGTACTATGTAAAATGGTACAGTAGTGTGGTATAATGATACATCTTGCATTGCTGCTGCGTGAAGTGATGGCACAATAGTAATTTTATCTTGGATGTTATGTAGTTTCTTTAAGTTTATTGAGTTTAGAGTAAGATGTGCTGTCGCTTTCGAAGTCGTATTCATGAGGTTCTGTATCGCCATGATTTTCAATGGTTGCCCCGCTACTTCATCGTTATCGCTAACTATTGTGAACTGAGGTGTGCGTAGGAGACAATGAATTGGTATAGTAGCCAAATAACTGCCATGTAATTGGTCATAGTCGTCTCTGCCACATTTTAATCGGACTCTTGTAGGTTGCGGAAAGGTCAATACATAACTCCGGTCGTCTAGCTGTTCCATTGCTTCTTTTAGCAGGTTGATTTGTATGGCTGTTGCTATTAGTGGATGTGGGGGAATAAGGATTTAGTGGTGCTTGTTAGGGGCAATGGAAAGTTTATAGAGTGTGTAGCTACTGGCTGAGACAATAGGAATCTTAAAAACTATTACAATTCGTTTAACTGCATAATAGGATCCCGGTTTTATAATATTAAAATATTCTGTAAATTCTATATCTAAAATTTGTTCATTACCATAAATTGACCTTAACTTTCCTATCATTTGCTTTAATACGTGAATATCTAACACAGGGTGATGAGTACTTGAAGACCTTATAAATGCCAAACTTGTTTCGATTCGATTTAACTCGTTGTCGTTTAAGTCCTTGATGTTTTCAGTAATTATAAAAAGCATTTGACCACATTGTGCGAACTTAATAAGATAGAGAGTAAAATTTGGTATAAAGTTTTATCTGTTAAGTAGGTATCGTATTATTATTTATATTTAATGATTCTGTTGTATACCTATGGGTTTTTATGCCTGAAATTAATGTCTATTATTATTATAATATTTTGCTTTACATTTTACTTTCTGTTTGTCACCTATTCACTGCAAACGTAATAGATGGTTACATTTTGAGTTTCTTAATTCTTTGTTATAATAATTAATGAGAACTCGAGTTGTGGGAATTTGTGGGGAATAAGAACTTTATTCTCCTCAAATTTGGGGTAAAATCCACTCCTTGATTATTGGGTATTCTGGCCAATTGGTATTGGCAACGCTGCATAACTGTTGCAAATATGTGTCAAACATTGAAGAAAAATTATTATAGTTATTTTTATAGTGTTTTTCGTGCAAACTCTATTATTTTGTAATAAACATCGCCAGTTTAAGTTATTTAGACGGTTATATATACAAATACTCAAAATGGATGATTTATACGGTGATTTGGAGAATTACAACGACATAAACACTATTGAAGAGGTGAGGCAGTTTTAGCGCCAAATATTTTTCATCACTTCCATTGACCTACCAACAAATGGACGTCGGGACTAATACAAAAACCACGAAAAAATGTCCGATGTTAACCTATACAAACGTAGTGAAATGTAACGAAATATAAAAAACTAAAACATTTAATTTAAATTGTAACGTCATTGCAGTTAGGCAGTACTGCCTAATTTTGCTTGCATCAATTTAAGGGCCCAAAAACACTATATTCAGCTTCTACTGGAAATTTAACAATGCACCATATTTAGCTTCGACTGAAAATTACTTGAACACGACAAGAGTAATGGAATAGCCTTTATCGTAAATGTTAATTAATTTTTATATATATTATTATGTCCAATTTTGTATAAATTCACTTAATGAAATAATAAAGAGTTGGGCAGATACATACATATAAATATTACTACAAATGTGAAAATAAGCGTGTACTATAAGAAATATACTGATATTCCAACTAAACATAAACTCAAATATCTGTAATTCCGAAAACCGATTTATAATAAAACCTTTACACTTTTGTGTAATTTTAATGCTTTTCACAAATACAAAATTAGTTTTTATTTTGTAATCTTTCTAAAAAATACATTTGATATTATGAAAAGTCAAGCTAATGTTATTTTGGGCAAATGTATTTTCTGACTTCTAATAGGTAATCCCAAGCCGTAAAACGAGTACAACAATATTTTGTTAGTTATTGCTAACGTTTAATTAAAAATAAGATTAAAATCAAAGCGACTCTATACTTTCTTTGTTCTAAATGTTTCAATTGCTTGTGGTTCGAGCAATTGAAAATGACGAAGAAGTTTATATATAAGCTTCTTGAAATTGACACAATGGGTCTCGTTCCATGTTTTGCGCATGCAAAGTGTAGAAAAAGGACAGTCAGCTATTTGATTATTTTGTGTGCTTTTGTAATTTATATTTACGATTCATTTATATATAAATTAAATTCTATAAAACTGTACAACATAACATTTTTAAATGAGAACTATAATAACACAATATATTTGTTTAGTGAAAATATGATACAAAATGCTGTTTTTACACTTTACTGCAGTAATTTTTACAATTTATTATTATATGGTACTGTATGATTGACTACCGCGCTGACAGTCGAACAAACGAAGACTGTTGCGCGATCAATGCTCTGTATGTGATTTTAACGCTCTACAGATGCGGACACTTTTAAGCGGGAACCCGATGTCCATTTATTGGTAGGTCAATAATCACTTCAGTATTTTCCCGCAATTGTGACTTATGATTTAGCTTCGAGCTACTTAATTTCAATCAAATTTATATAGATAAAGTTTAACTTTTTGTTTAGAAATAAGAAGTACTACCCTTCTGACTTATAATTTTTTGTTTAGTTACGAAAGGAGAATGCAGAGCTGAGGTTCAAATTAGAGGAGCACAAAAGTACAGTCGATAAATTACAAAAAGTGAGTTTTGTAGTGTACAGGAATATTTGCTTTATTGTACTCTTACGGGTATCTTCATAGATTGATATGGCAGTCTATATTCCAGGATATTGATAAACTATCCTCTGAGTTCAAGACATTGGAGATAAACTATTCTTCATTGCTAAAGACTGCAAAAGCTGAAATTGAGAGGAAAACGCAGATTATTAACAATCTCAATTCTGAGTAAGTATCACATACCAATTGTATCTATGCAGGGAGTTATCTAACTGTTTTTAACAGTGTCTATTGTATTTCATGCAAGGATTGCTATGAAATAGAATCAATGCTATCTTGCTACCAATTTTTATGAATGTTAAGAAGTTGTTGATGAATACATTACACTCCAAAGGGTGTAATGTGTTGTATGCTTAGTTACACAGCTGTCTTTTCTTTTAAAGTGGTAAATAATGGGTCATTCTGAATGCTTGCAGTTGACAACAAATAACATAAACATTAAAACAAAACTTGAATAGAAACATTTGCTAAAAATAATCACTATTCAAATGCATGCTCCCTCACATACATCTTAATAAGTTTTTCATAATTCTAATGGCTCCACAATAGGGAATGCATTCAAGAATATATGTTTCACCATGCATTTTTATTTTTCACTGTCATATCTTTATCAGCCCTTTTTAAAACATTTTTAATAGTTTTCCCTAAGTTCATACAATTTGACACCTGTATTTGTAAGTTGACATACTTTTTTCATTTTTCAGGAAAGACATGTTGGTACTTAATTCCTTACAAAACGCCAACAAGAGTTTACTTAATATTAAATGTAATATGGCTAGAGACAAGTCTAATAACAGGTGGAAGGAAATGGCCAGAACGGACCTGGATACCTGCAAAGGAAAAAATGTTAAAGATGTACCTGAAATGAACATGTTTGAGACAGAAAAGGATCGGTAATTTTAATGTTTTTGATAGATGGCTCATCACGAAAAAACATGTGGTATCTTATACACAATAAAATTTAGCAAATTCTAAATACATCTGAGTAATAAGTCAAAAAATAAACTACTGGTTACAATAATATTCTTGAAAAGCAGCAACATGTTTGTCTATCTAACACATTTTCCTTACATTTTGTTAGTTTCACACAAAGAAAATTCAGTTAGTACTATTTACATTATAAATAGTACAGGGTCAAGAGTATGTTAAGCTAGACACTTAAGATTTAAATCCAACTCTATGCCACTTACGATAACAACGGGTCAATGTACAAAGTGTCAAGCTTGACTTGCTCTTGACTGTACTAATTGAATTTTGTATGCTTAGTTCTGTAAACTAGCATAGGCAACCACAAACATGTTTGTATTATGATTTTTCTTTCTGTGTTTTAATGAACTGAGAATAACAAAACCCAAAAGCATTGTGTATTTATTTTTTTTGCATTTTTTGCAGAGGCATTGAAAACCGCATGCCATCAACTGAGACTGCTACCAGTGGTAATAGTGAAGATAGCAAAAGGTTATTAACTGTTGAAAGCAGAGATGATACTTATATTGATAAGAGCACTGATAACAAAGATGTTTCTAAAGCAAGAAATCCACCTTCAGGGGTCAGAAGTAGGAGAAAGTCTATGTCTGCTTTAAGGTGAGCAATTTGTTTTGTGTATGTGTAATCTATGTTAATGGAAATGTGTATTAGTGATTGTTGTCATGTAAAGGTAAAAAGTTTCACAAAAATATATTTATGAAGGTTGCTTTGCTTTCAGTAAATTTTATGCAAAATTTAGCACTGACGAAGAGTTTGAGGAACTCTACTCCGCTGAAGAAAATCACGCAAAAGAATGGCCTTTAAAAGATGATAAAAATAGGAAAGTCTTAGAGAAAACTTATGATAAACAAAGTCACAAAGTTTCAGAGACTTCAGGTATTGATGACAAATACTCTAGTTACCATGAATCTTCTAGAGAAACTTATTATAAAGGTAAAACTAGATATATCGAACGATATAGGACCAATAGAGACAAATATGAATCAACTCAAAGGTCCAGAAGACATTATAGCCCTGAAAGAAGTTATAGAGCTCCGAGAGACCATTCCGATGATCGGTACCAAAGAATTGATTTTGGGAGACACAGAATACTAGAAAGTCCACCTTCAGAGAGAAATCGAGAGTACGATTCTCGCAGAAACCGAGATCGTCGGTCCAATTACGAAAGGGAGAATCTTTATGATAATAGGCACAAAGTTCCAGAAAGACAAGGGGTAAAACACAAGGTTCAAACTGATTATGAAGAACCTAGCAGTAAAAGAGCCAGAACTAATTCCAGAGGCAGGTTTTCCAAGAAAGATATAAGATGGTCAAAAGTTCAAGAAATTGCTGAACAAAGATTGCTACCAATTCCTCATAATACATCTTGCCTGTCACCTGATTACGTTAATCCAGAAATATTCCCTGCCCAACCAATTAGAGGTAATTTTTTGTTTTATTTTTATAATTCTTAACAATAATGAATTGTGAAAAAAGTATGTATTTGTATTCTTTTTTTGTAACTTTAACAGAAATCAGGAATACGGCCTCTACTAAATTGGAAGATCCGCGGCTGACAAGTAACCGGTACATAGTAAAGAAGGATGATAAAAGTACATCTTTATGCTCAGTGATTGGTAGAAATGTTGAAATAGTTCCTGTAAATGAAGCAGTCTGGAATATACAAAAAGTAAAAGTACCGGATGCTTTGCAGCGACAGCTGCCGTCTGCCACCACTTGCGCTGTTCAATTAGTTAAAAATTTATATATGGACATTGATAATCCTGTATCTAATTTATCGATGGAGTCAGGTGAAATACAGTCGGGTAGAAATACACCTGCAGGAGATATTACAGAAACTTTGTTTAATGATTACGAAAATGTTAGACCAAGTGAAAATGTTAGTGTGGATGTTGACAAAAAAGCAAACTCTCAAGTAAATCAAACTGCCGCTGAAATAGTAGCTCAGCCTATAAAATATAAAATTCCTAAAATGAAAAGGGTGCAAGAAGAAACAATATCTCAAAGTATTACTAAAAATACAAATCCGCTAGAAATGTTGATGACCGATTTGAAATCCAAATGTGAAGTAACAACACATACGGATGAAAGTATTGAGAAAGGCAAACCAACAAAACAAGAGAAAGACGCAACAAAGTTTGACAAAGCCACTTCTACAATTGAAGGTAAATTAGAGGACGATAACCCAAAGGAGAGAATAAAATTATGTATATCTCTAAGTAAGCTCAAGTGCAAGCAACCCCAGTCAGCAAGAGAAATAGTTGCAGGAGATTTAGAACTTAGTGACGAAACTTGCGACGATTCAGAATTGCAAAACGATAGACTAACTTTAAGAAACAAAGTGCGATTAGATAAATCTCAAAAAAGCCATCAATATAAATCTCACACAAGTGAACATAAACCAAAAAATCAAGACAGTAGTAACATCGAAGTCACCAAGTGTGCACCAGATGTAAATACAAAAGAGATAAGTCCTGAAAGTAGTAAGAAACGAAAAACAAAGAGGCGATCACAAAAGCAGAGAGGTTCAAGCCCGAAAGAAATATCTGAACAAATAGATACTACTAAAAATCAATCAGACAAGAAAACAAGGAAAAAAAGCAAAGACTCGAAAGCTTATACAACGCAGGACAGAAAAGCTAAATTCAGCGAATTATTTGGCGACAGTAGTAGCTTGATAACTCCTGAAGATTTGGGATTGACCCCAGTAAATGTGCCACCTGAAAAATATGTACCTATTTTCGAGGACGCCCAAGATGCCATCGATGTGAATGTGGAAGAAATAGGTAAAGCACAAAAGGCTTCAACATGTGTAGAAACTTATGAAGTACAGAACGAAACTCGTAATACCAATGAACATAAAATTAAATCTAAACCTGACAAATCTGGCAGTGAACGTAGACAGAAGATTAAAAAACTTGATGAAATTAAACCTGATTCTACAGTAGAGGTACCTATATCTACGGAAGATATTTCATTACATGAAACTATGAAGGCCAAAACTATAACTTCCGCCGAAATCACATCTGCGTCATTTCAAACAGAGACAACCCTAAAGAGTACAGTTTCAGAAGCACCGACTCTTGAAAATTTAGTTCCCGAAACTGCAACTAAAGATCTTGATGTTGTCAAGACTGTAATAATTTCTACTGGAATCCAATCCCAAGCCACAGAAAATAACGCGGAACTGCCAGTAAGCAATAACTTGGAAGACCTTATTGAAGATATTGTGGAAAAAGATATGCCAAAGAGACGGGATACTCACATTCATGCGCTTGCTACGTCAACGCCATATAAAGAAATACCAATGCCATGCTCTCAAACTGAATCAAACTCGAGACCTGAGAGTAGGAACTCTGAAGATAATAGGCTAGATGGGAATGAAGCTTCGTTAGATGATCGGAATTCAGTATCTAATTTAGACGCACGAGAAAATGATGCGCCTGATATAAGAATATTTGTAACAAGGCGGAGAAAACTTAAAAAATGAAAGATATGTATATATTTTACTTAGATACTACGTACACAGCAATAATACGCATGTTTTATTCCAGCGTGACCATGGTCAGTTTTTGAAATTTGACTAGCCAGATAAAGACCTCGCCATTTAGTCAAAACAAAGAAGCGACAAATTAAAAAAATTCGCGACTAGAACCGACTAATTAACGACTTTTTCTGAGTGCAATTAGATCTAAGCCAGGAGCTGTGGTACTCGAGACTAAAAATGTCGCTGAAATAATCTTATCCCAGTGTGGACAGTAAAAAACCTTAATATGTTCAAAACGGCGTTAACGACTATATCTAGTTTCTTACGACAAGAACCGACTAAATCACGACTATTTTTTAGTGTAATCAGATCTCATCTAGGTGTTGTGGTTCTCGAAATTGAGAAATGGTGCCACTGGAATAAGCTTATTCCAGCGTTGTCCACGTAAAACACCCTCATAACTTTTGAACAGCGGACCGAATAAATCTAGTTTTTTGCGACTAAACGGCTACTTTTTGATTGATTAATCAAATTTCAAAAACTCGACTATGGTCACGCTGGAATAAGCCACGTTAATAATACTCGTCATATCATGATGTATTTTTACTTACCGGTATTAATTTCGTTTAAGTACTTAGTGTTATGCTCGTTTCTGCAGAGTACATATTTTATAGGAGTATTTATTTAGCAGTATACAGAGACTTTACCATTAACTGGTAGTGTTATTTATTAATTTATTCTTTTTCTCTCGCAATTTTGAAACAGTGTAAAAAGTGTGTATAAACAAATAACTGTACATAGTTATATGTAGATTTCTCAAAAAAATTGAGCGATAACTATAATACATTTCATAAAATTAAAAACTTGATGAAATTCCCATAAGTCTTTATTTTTCTTATAAATAACCCTGATGAAGTATTTTTACAACAATCAAATTATTAAATATATTATAATTATTATACAATGGATAACTATTAAGACAGGGTCAATAAAATTATAGACTATACTACTTATAGGCAGTAATTCGTTGATTATGGCTTTACCAATTATATGGGTTATGTTAGCAAAGTTTGTTCGAAGAGGGCAACAATTGCAGGCATTGAGAGGTAAATTTTCTACCAAATGACGAATGAATTTTTAATTAAACCAATATAAAGTAACGATATGATATTAAATTGTGTACACTGGTGATTTTCTGTATAATTATACTTCTATTTTAAACATAATACGTAATTTAATAAATAATCCCCAGTCATAATCGAAATATTAAAATATCTTGTATTCTTGTATTGAACCATTTGTATAAAATAAATTATTAACTCTGGAACATTAAAACAGAGAGCAATATTTTCTCATTACGTAAATATTTATTAAGATATTATCTATATCTGAAAAATATCGTTGCTAATGTAACAAAATTTAATTCAATTTTCAAGTGGTTACATTCATTGCACCTTTGACTACATTATTTTAAGATTATCACAATACATAGGAAACCTTTAATTGAAGCATTTTGCTACAATTCAATTAATACAAACAACACGACGCGGCTGTAGCGACGCGGCTGTAGCGACGCGACGGCGGCGGCTGTAATTTAGTAAGTATTATTTACTAAGTGTCAACTGTTTTTACTCGCTCTTGACTGAACCCGATCGTGCGTCAAAGGCCTGGATAAGTACCTCAGTTGGCAGAGTATCAATAAATCTGATCATCGAAAAATGGTCCCCATCCAAAACTAACTTGTCTGAAACCCCTGTTCAACATTTTTTGCAAGAAGGGCATTCAAAACATGCGAGGCGGAAGTTCAACCTCCACTCAAGGGCGGGCGTTCCTAGGAATGTGTTTCGATGCACCAGAATTCACTGTTCGTCGAAAGTATTGGAGATGGGCCTCGAAAAAAAAAAGGAAAATATCAAGGATCCTGGTTAGATTCTACTGGAATCTAAAATTTCTAATGATCCATAGTGATCTCTAAAACTAACGAGTCTGATGTGGTTCTTACAATGTTAAAACTATTTTGTCAATTTCTCAAAAAATCTTACTTCTTGACTTTCGTCACTTTATTATTGAAGATGTGCCGTTCAGCGATACTTCTGATTAGATGCAATGAGCGAGTGAAACAAAGCGACGCCGGCAGCGGTGCATGTGCGATACACATTTTATCATCCATGGCGTAATCGCCGCATCTTATTTATTGTTTTAACGGGTTACTGCTTGCAACGACATGGTGGTACAGGATCAAGAGCTCGTCGAGCTTGACATTTAAGATTTAACTATATGCCACTTACATCAACAACGGTAAAAAGTGTCAAGTTTGGTGTGATCTGGACTGTATATAAATAAAAAAAAGATGTTATTAATAATAATTGTTTTTCTGTTATCTAAAACGATTACTGATATCCACGTCCAAGGTTGTTGCTGATGCAGGTTTTTTTACACATCAGCGGATGCTGATTTTATGTATTTAAAAAAAAAACGAGAAAATGCTTAGTGAATCTATTTACATGAAAAGCTTTCTATTTTCTTGATATGATAATAAAACATTATTTCAATAATTTTGCAACTTTTATTAACAAAATAACCAATCTGCATGAAAACAATCAATGTGCCTAGCTTAATCGTTCTGGGATTTTATCATATTTATATTAAAAAAATAACACCTGTGCTGCTTTTTCGGCTTACAGTCTGTTTTTGGAAGGTTTGTAAGTTTTTTGTTTTGCGTTTTGTTTGTTTGTATTCCAGAGTGCCTTTTAGATCATGTCACGACTCGAACATCCGCAATGAATATCAGCACCGATAAATGCGGATGAGGTGCTGATATTCGCAACAACCCTGTTCACGAATGTGGTGTTCCTGTTCATGAGTGTGAATGTGTTCATAAATTAGGACCCTAAGGTTATTAAATTTCTTTAGGTTACAGTTGGGTTCCTTGAAGTTGGGTAGTGTAATAAGCGTTTAAATGTAAGGGCGCTTACCTCACCGAGAGTATTCGCTTGTAATGTAACAGGTCAAATTCGAGCATTATATCGGTGAGGGAGGAGAACTACAATGTGTAACATTCGTTCACTCCCTCACCGGGAGCATTCGTCTGCAATGCATTTGTTCAGATTGTAAGGTTGCAATTCTACCAGATATAGAGGAAATGTTTTCAAGTATTTATTTAAGTTAGCCTCCGAGCGCATGTGAGAGAAAGTGATGGGAAGCCCTAGCATTTCACGCGCACATTTGCACGCACTCGGAGGCACTCACAGACACTCGCACGCACTCGGAGGCACTTGCAGGCACTCGGAGACACTCGCACGCACGCCTTGCTACCTCGCACATTTCAGGTTGAATCGTGGCCTAATCGAATCTTGGATGTGTTACATTACAGGCGAATGCTCGTCAATGAAAGAGGCAGTATTATAATGTAATCCTCGAAAATGAATCTTGAATGTTATATTACAGGCGAATGTTCGCAGTGAGGGAGCGCCTGAACGTACAAACGTGATACAAGTCAAAAACCAGGTGGCGCAGTTTCGGGAATTCCCGTAGCTACGGTATTGTATCAAGTTTGTACGTTATACGATTAAAAGTTGATTATGCTATGTACAATTTTGTTACAAAAATTGAGCCTTAAATAATAGCACCGATCTGCTTGCACATCGCCTTGCTCTGCAATTGCTTAGTAAGTATTCCATGTTTTTTAATTACCCTTATAATAGATAATGTTTATTTATAGTAAATAATACAAATACTATCGCATTAATAAAAAAATCTTTCAGATGCCTTTTGTCGCGTAAGGGAAATACAAAGTTTTCCTAAATTAATGGGAAGCAAACTAGGTGCAAATTTAATAAAGCCGAGGCGTACATCGGTGTATTAAATAGAATATCACCGAAGACTCTAATTCTATGTACAATAATCCCATATGTAAGGCTCTTTTTCAACAACACGAAGATAAAAAATATATAATACATAAATTATTCCAATTCGCTACTTTAGTCGATGATTGCAGTAGACCGCAATTATTGTGCTCTCATAGATATATAATCTCACTTATCACCCAAGGATGATTGGTTGTGAAGGGTGAAATAAATAAAAATATTTTTGTCATTTTCTTAACGCACAACTCTGAGAACCTTCAAATAGCAACAATTACGTAAGAAAATAATAATAATATTTTCGGATATAGAATTCGACCAAGTGTTTCTAGTGTGATCGCAAAATTGATTTTGACCAGACAAAACATTCGAGTTAACAATCTATTGCAACAGCTTTGTTGTTAGGTTGCCTATCGGTAGTCCGAAATGCTATTTTCCAGAAATAACGTTTGGTCGAAATTTCATAACCTCGAAAGTAATTTTGAGAGGAAAATGTTTTTTTCTTTTAAACCTAACCTAACCGAACCTAATCGTGTCTTTGCGATAAACATTCAACATATCCTGAAATAACAACTGTTTCGTTATAATTCGTTTTTCGGTGTAGTGAAAATTCGAACAAACGTTATTTCGGACAAAAAAATTTTCGACCCTGTGATAGGTTACCTTGTTGTTACCTTTTATTACGTCCATATATACAATTTAAGAAAGTTCGGCGGGTCATAGTTACACTGTTCACGTATACTGTTTCACAATCTGGTAATTTCAACCAAGAAATCATATCAAGACAGAGTATACAACGAACAAGAACAGGACTGTTCAAGGACAATTCAAGAATTGAAAAGAACCTTTACAGGCCGTGCACGTGTAGACGGTCAAAAAGTGTAAAAAAATTTTGGCACCAATAAAAAATTCTCAACAATTTGTGCGTATGTATTTATACAGGCTGTAACGGAAAGGGTATATAAATAAATGGACCTAATAAGGTACCTATCTGATTGAAAAGGTCTGTGAACATTTTGAGGTATACAAACATGATTAATTTTTAAAATTTAAGAACTATATAAATTTTCAAACCAAGTGTGTCTTAGCACTACGAGTGAATTATATTTTTTAGAAAGTTCGCGTCAAAGGCGTCAGAGGCAGTTTTACGGCAACGATACCAGGATTACGGGCAATTTAAAACATCCTCCTACGCCCAAGGAAGAGGCAAAAACAACTTGTAATAAAGGACAGTTATACTATCTTAAAAAAAACCCGTACCCACAAGAACTATACGCTGTGTTACTACAGTATTTCCAAGATGTACGACGTTTGTGATTTTAGTGTTTAATGCAATATTAAATTACAAGTACTGCGTATAAAACCGGTTGGTTTTATGATTATAAAGCCTTTAAAACCAGCGCAAGTTGCACAGGACACCGTAACTTTAATCGACTGGAACTTACACGGCGTATAGTGGCCATCATATCTGAATTTCTACGTAAATCGGTGCATTTGATTTGATATACCCTACCCGTTACAACCTGTATACGGATGTCTGTCTAATAAATTTAACTAGCTGTGATGGCCAACAATGTTTACTACTATTATAAACTAATAACAAATAAGTAACTCTTATCACATAACTCGTATCACATGTTAATAATAATCATTCATACACATACTGATTGCACTGAGAACAGGACATAATGGAAAAGGAATGTCTTTAGAATTTCTTTCAGAAAATATTCTATATCTGTTGCTATAAGCATCCTCTTGTATTGGATAGGGTGCCTATGATATTATTAGCCATTGGTATGTCTTCGCTTCTCGAAGGGCCAGAGTTGGAGGAATCAGGTGGTGACGCTCGTCTGTTCAGTTTTGTCATCACGGTGGGGATTTGTTCGTTGTGTTCGGAATGTGGCGAAACGTGCTGGTAGCACACGGCGGAGGCATGCCCGGACCGCACTGAGGTGAGCGGTGTTCCGATCTTCCATACATTGGTTGGTGGATCGTATACTTCAACTATGTTTAGGAATGATGTGCCGTCGTAACCGCCTGTTAAAGAAGCGGTGTTATTTATATTTCAAATATAAGAAAATTGCATGGCTTGGCTAATACAGGGTAAAATATTAATTATGACAATGTGGTATTGAATGACAAAATTGTGTACAAACCTTCATGTAACGGGTTCAATAGATCTTCAAACAAGAAATCTCAGCGTACTAGCATTATATAATAAGACAAGTAATGTAACTTCATACAAACGTAGCTGCGCGGCTTAAATGTGTGAGCGCCGTGTAATCTCGTGTTGAATGACGCGGATCGTCACACGCGCCATTCATTATAGAATTGAAGCGCTCGGTTTTTAAAAAATGACATAAAATAATAGACGTGTTTATTGTTGTGTTTATGACTGTTTGAACAAAATGCCTCAAATTCGGAATTGTTCAGCATTTCATTTCTATTTCATAATCATACTTCCGTAAACGAGATACTAATCCGCGATTCACAAAGATTATTTCAATATAGCTCGAGAATACTGTTATGAATACCTTAATTTTTCCAAATTATGTTTACAACCTGCAGGTACAACTAATATAATAATTTGGTAGCCTGTGGCATTGATGTGCCGAACAGGCAGGAGTTGCACCACTTGTCTTATTATACTATGTTACTAGACTCAAGCAATTGTTACTTTAGTAGACGCGTTTCTACTCGTAAGCAGTGGGAAGGATATTACGTGCTACTTACCCATAGCATATAACTTATTGTCCAAAACAGTCAACGATAGCGTAGATCTTGCCATGGACAGCGGAGCAACGGCTTCCCACATATTTCGTTCAGTGTCGTATCGCTCTACAGACGCTAGTTGCTGCGACCCGTCGTAACCGCCTACTACGTAGATGTATTGGTTCAACGCTGCTACCCCTGTTTAAAAATAAGTCTTCATGTTATTTAAAAGTTCATCAACATCATATCAGGACAGTTGCTTCAGCTCTACCAAGCACAAGTCCAATCGTGTATGGAGTATTGCTGCCACTGCTCTGCTAAATACCAACTGGCCACCTTGGATTCAATCGACAAGTGTGTCAAGAGGCTTATAGGTGACTCGGAATTAGTAGAGGTGAAGCTATAGAACTTGGGAATGGCCTATACTTGGGAATGGCCTAGTTTGAGACCAGGTCATTGGTGTAGTTGCCTGGCACATTACTACTGTTATTACGAGATTAATTCATTTAAAAAAAATGAAGTTCTAATAAACCACAACACCTGCACCACTCCTGGCGATATTCATGGGCGCGACCTCGTTCCAGCAATTGTTTTCAGGATGGTAGCACTCGACGGTGTTAACTCGTCGCGCACCGTCGAAGCCGCCAACAGCGTACAGTAGTCGGTTAACCACGGCTACTCCGACGCCGAGACGCGCGCACGACATCGATGCCACCGTTGTCCAGGTGTCTGTTTCGGGGTCAAGGCTGAAAATAAATTTATTCTTAGCTTATAGGCTTGTCAAAGTATTGTAATGTAAATGTATTTTTATTTATGATTGTGATACTTTCATTTATAAAATTCCTTCGGTGCACTGCACTGTCAACAATACACGAGAATAGATAAAATATATTTCTATAGAATTATTTTTAGACAAATATGTCTCAATACTTTAAATAATGTCACATAATATACGGAAACGGTAACAATCTAATTGATTTTTTCACTCACCATTCAACGGATCTATGGTATTGCGATCCTGCAGAGCCTCCGACTGCATACAGTAAACCATCCATAACTGCTACTCCCACCTGTCAAACAAATAGTATAATGTTACAACGCTGGGTTCATGTTCATATAGCTACCTTTATTCCAATTATATCGTGAATAAAGCATCCATCTTCTTACGTATAAAAAATACAGTTTCGCTCACTGTGTTCGTAGCTGTATACTTAGTTCAAATACGTAGGATTCTGTAATACTGCGTTATTGTATAAAGGCAGATATATACTCGATGGGCAGCGATATATCATAGCCAACTACCAACACCAACAGTGTTAAATTCATTTTTACTAAAGTTAATATCAATCAATTTAAATACAGCTGGTGTTCAAAACAGCCATTTTCTTTTGGTTTAATTTTTAATAGTTATAGTCAACAACAAAAATAGCTTTATGACAGTAGCAGATTTGATTTGATAGCGTTAACGCCATTATCCGCGATTGAACCGCAAATAACAGGTCACATGGATTACACAATCAGTGTTGTCGCGGTGTTGCCAGGGCAGTTGAGTAGAAAATTACATAACTGTAAAAATATACATACGCCTAAATCCAAAAAATAAAAACTAAATACGCTTAAGAAAAATCAAGCTATAGCCAGTAATTGATTGGTTTCATTTTCTTGGGTACTTTTTCGTCTAATTTGGTTGAGTTCGTAAATTATTTAGGATTCGCAATAACAAATATAGTTGATTGTCCTCAAAAGTTACGAAAATTGCCTTAAAAACCAATTTACTTAAAAAATTTATTAACTAAAAATTTAATAAATGTAACTATCTAGCAACAGTGCAGAATATTCATTCGCTATTATTGTCATATTGAATGCAAAACTACAAAACAGTAGAATAACAGATTATCTGGCAACAGTAATTTACAATAACAGTTATTGAAAAATCGCAAAATTCATTATTGACAAACAGCAGTCTTTGTCGTGTCTAACTAAATATATTATGTATAAATAAAATATTATTTTATTTTATAAAAAAAAGAAGAAAAATTATTATATAAAATATTATTTTATTTATATATATCCTAGATCATTCGAAAAACTAAAATTGTCGAATATTGCAATGATATACAGTGTGATTTTTTTAAATGTGTCGGTATGGGGAAATCAGAAACCATGGGAGGTACACGGAAACTGTGTTAGGAACCATTAAGTCTATTTTGTGAAAACAAATTTGACATAGTAAATTTATTGATCAAGCGTGAGTTGTCCTCAAAAAATATTAATATTGACAATTTTTTTAATGCTGATCAACCCAGTTTTTTAAAAATAAACTGGAGAAATAATTTTATGTTATATTCATACGATAGGAAAATGCAATGCACTAAATTGATCACAGTTCAAGTACTTAATAATTTAAATACATCTCTTATGTTTCCGGATTTCCCTACACTGTCCCAGTTAAAAAATCACACTGTATAGCGACTGAAATCGACTATCGTAAAATCAATTACTGTCAAAAATTTGTACTACTTAGTCTATTTTTACAGATGGAAGTTGGAACAGAAATGTCAAAGCTAAATGGCGAATCGGCTGCAGCTATTGTATGGCGTTTAGTGTAATGTACGGAGATAGTAAGTGCGCTGACGAACGAAGGACAATCTTTGACAAGTCGTCAAAAGTCGCTGGCCCACTTTTGGCACTATAGACGCTAAATGACGAGATCCTGGTTTCGATTTCCAGTAGGACCAATTTAAGAAACGAACTTTTTTAAATTGGTTTTCATGTGGGTGTTTTAGGTATTGCATTTTATTTCTGTGATACTCAAAGTACACGGGATCTCCCTAATTTGAAAGTAGGAACTGGTGTTTGGCACATATTGTTCCTATAAAAAGCTCTTGAGTTTCTGCACTGATCAACTGGGATGGGTGGATAGGCAACTCCTCCAAAAACTGACGTGTTAAGTGTTATCTCGAACATCTCAGAAGAGAGATCGATTTAAACAACAAAGAAAATTCGTTTAAAAAACTAACTTTTCTATTGATTGTTTAAAAATTCTCCTGTCACCTCTAGTTTGATACACAACGGTGCCGCTGGACATCCTGTAGGAAATGGACGTGCGAGTTTACGCGCGTCTCCGCCAGGCGGAGGAAGCTGCGCCTGCGAGAGGCTGGAGCAACCATGGATCTTGCGTCAGCGCGCCGTCGGTGCGATCCTGCCCAACCTCGAAGTCTGGTTGAGCCAGCGGAAGTGCGTCACCACTCACCGGGTAGGGCTGCTTTGGTGAGCATCAGATCGGGCGAAACCTCTCTCTGCCAGGCATAGTAGCGGCTATGCTGGCGGATCAAGAATCCCATGAGGCAGTGGTCTCTTTCTGTGAAGCGGTGATGCTCCAGATGGAGGTCGCTGAGCGTGATCGGGAGGGGGAAGATTCCGCTTGGCGGCGGCGTACCTACGGGAGATCGGAGCGGGGGCTCCGTTCGCCAGTAAGTTTGGCACCCGCGAGAAGGACGAAGGGACGGCGTGGCCCGCTTCGTCGTGAGGAGGGGTGGGGAGGACGTAGTTCCTCTTAGGTGTCGGAGGGATCCGGTGCGCAAAGTAGATTTTCTTAAATCGATTCAAAGCCGGTGGAAGTCTTTAACCTGTATCCGGTATACTAGGAGGATTAAATCACAAAAAAAAAAGAAAAAAAAATGGTACACAACAAAGGTCCTGAAGATCCTCACAGCTAATTTGACAAACACAGCATACGTACTCTATGCCGAGGTGTGGACATGGGGCTGCAAGGCCGCCAGTGTTCACTGACGGGATTGTACACGTCGACCCAGTCGCTGTCATATGACGAGCCCGGCGACGTATTACGCCCGCCCACCGCGAAAAACAAACCCTGCAAAACAAGAACACGTCAATACGTATACAAACCTTTTGGCCGGTATAATTATTTACCATACCGCTGTTATGACACTGAGGAGTAGAGAACTAGACCGACAGTTCAGGCGTCATAAATTCTGAAGGTGAGATATCAGGAGCCTGCAGAAGACTTCTGCTGGGGTACACTGGTTGGTCGGCATTACAGTTCGTAATTCGTTTCCAATAATTTTTTTTTCTCTTTGACGACCTCGGTAGCCCCACGTTTAGCATCATGAGTGCTGGAGGATGATGAGGAGGTCCCGTATTCAATTCCCGCTTGGACCAATTTCGGAAACGTACTTGCCTAAATTGGGTCTGGTGTGGGTGTTCTGCGTAATGCATCGGAGTTAACATCGTTAAAATGACAGGCACATGGGACTTGTCAACTTATGCCTCAAGGTGACGCGCGCACCGACAGTGCTTAGTGATTTTTAAATCACTTTAGTGCTTTAGCACTGAGTGGCACTGCAACTGTTATGGACAGGCAGGCGTGTCGCTTACCAGTAGACGCCCCACCTCATCATCCCATCACTTGGCATTATAAAAAAAATCGTAGAATCATTTTTAAATAGGCATATTCGAGCTTAGCGCAATATTGAATTAAAAACAGTAAACATGCGATTATCGTACGTGATTCTTGTTCGAGTCCAGTACATAAGCATATTCTTGAGTCAAATTGTTACGATAGAGTAAAATGTTAAATGTGTCAACCCGCTCGTTAAATAATAAGCTTGTATTCAACCCGTGTCTGAAAGTTGGTAAACATATGAACACATTGGTGGTATTTTAACAGTTCAGTCCTGAGCATATTAACTATAATGTTTTAGTCCATACTGGTTTCAAAATACTTTTCCCCTATCATTATAACGCACGAGCATACAGTGTATAATTTTTCACTTTCTTCTCTAAATTTGTCAGTACGTGCTGAAGTCCTACATTTGGTGTCAAGTAATGGCAAATTTTTGTGTTCTGGATGGTAGATGTTGCTGTCGTTAGAATCTTGTTTCTCTTATTGCTGCTAATAATACACATATTGTATTGATTATGTCGAGTATCGTGATTTGGCGGAGTCAGGCCAGTAATTAATGTACTTTGCAATTTTGGTGAACTAGTAGCGCCATCTTGCGGGGACTAGTGTTTATTATTACTCATAGTTATACTCTTTGAAGTTGAAAAATTCAAACTTTTCTTTTTAATTTATTTTTATTCTTTTTTTGAGTCGAACAACGACTAATAGGAGTAAAAGTATGTTTGCTATTATATTCTGTGCATATTTGCTTAAGTTGTTTATTTTGTAATTCCCGTTTTTGTAACGTCGCGTTTTCCTTAAGCAAAGTAATAATTTCGTTGTCCGTTGTGTCAAGTGTCTGATTCAGCCTATTTATGTCAGTTTGTAAGTCCTGTAAATCACTTTGAAGACAAGATATAGGCCCGGAGCAGCTTCTATTTAAGTCAATAGTGTTTGATGATATCTCAGTTTCTTCGTCATCTAAAGAGCTGAAGGAGTTCTCAATAGACACGTTTATGACGATTTTTTTGCGATCTGTAACTTTTTCGTTTTCTTTATGAAAATCCAACCAACATGATTGACATTTCCAGGTTTTTTTATTATCTGTAGTCATCAGGTGAAATCTTTGAGATGAGACATTTGCGCATGTTAAATCATAATATGTCTTGTCACAATTTACGCAAACTAGAAATTCTCTACCACTTAGAATATGTTCTAAGCTCTACCATTTATTTTTTGTTCACATTTATCACATCGTGTAGTCATTTTTTTTTGTGCCCTCTCGAGTCTACTAGAAATACTTAGTTATATACGTTCGGTAAATTATCACTAGATGTCACTGATTTACCTTGTACAATACAAAGTTTAGTACTGGTTGCAACACGTATTGGAAATGTCGTGTACTAACTTCGTTTTAAAGCGACATCTAGTTGTTGCACTGTGCAACTAGTTGATAAAATCAAACGTTATCGCTCGTGTGACGTATTCACAGCTGATTGACAGCTGTATGTTGTGAAATTTAATATTGTAACTGATTTAGGATCACCAATAATTTATATTTTTTTGAGTAAATTTCACTATTCTTGTACAGTCTTGTGTTATAGTTAAAGTACTCACTACAATTGGAAATTCTTGGGTTACAACATCCGTTTACACCAATTTGCACAATAAATAACTGGTTACGAATTGTTTATGAATTAGCACAATATACGGTAAAGTAGCCGTTCAATCTTTACACAAACACTTGTACAGAATATTTACACTTTTATAACTATTATGTCACTTTCTAAGCACAAAAAATACAAAATACCATTTATTACGAAATTTATATACGGAGCTAGTTGTTTACTGTGCGCAGTGGCGCCCTTCGAAAAGATGTTTAAATTTACTTTTCTTAGGTTCAAGTCTAATAACCTCAGGCATACTTACTAGTAAGTATGGAATACGTTTCTTTAGGGTTCTATCTCCATAGTAATTATTGACTTTTGGTACTACAAATTTACCAGAGGTCATTGACCTTGTGTTACTGCTATTAATAACAGGATACAAAAAAAAGCTACGGTCCTGTGCTCGAAAGTTGTTAACAGCTACCAGATATTTGTGTTTTAAGCTAACAGATAAGATTTTACAAATTTTAAATAATTTATTGTAATCTCCATTACATTTTTCTTTAGTTTTATTGTTTACAAGAAGTTTCAAAAATCTAACTTACATATTTTCAAGTCTGTTTGTGTATAAATTAAATGTAAGTCCATAACAATCTAGAGCATAACTTAGTATGGAGTCAATCAATGCCATATATAAATACTTTAATGTGCTGGCTGATATTTTAAAACTTAAATGGTAGAACTTGCCCAACAATATTCTAAGCTTATTATAAACAAAATCAATGTGAGTAGGCCAAGAAAAATGTTCATCTACTTTCATACCGAGCTAAGTGACACATTTAATCCTTTCTATAGGCTTGCAACTACAATTATTTGAATTACTGTGTATACAATCAAACGAATGGGCGAGTAAGGGACAGGGAGGTTGCTTCAAAGGCATATAAGGAGAGTATATCACTAATAATTTGGTTTTATCAGCATTTTTTTCAGTACTATGCCATTGTCGTGGCTCCACTTGACATCATGTACATCAAGTTGAACGAGACGACTGGTCTCTTCGAGATCTGTTCCTGCTCAGTGCACACAAAGGTCATCAGCGAACATGTGTGCTGTACAATATCGCAACACACCACATAAACTGTTAACATGCATCAGATAGCACACCGGTCCGCATTCAGAACCCTGAGGAACCCCTCACTGGACTTGTTTTTCTTCACTACACCTGTTACCCACCTTAGCCCTATAAGAACGGAAGGTTAGGTAATCGCGGAATCATTTGTTCAGTGGTTCACCAACCCCACACTTCTCCATTGCATTTAACAAGTCATTCATTTGTAACGTATTAAACGTATTAAATGGTTGTTAATTTCATCAGTAAAATTAGTGCTTTTTCCCTCTGAAAGCCATGTTGACATTTATTTAAAACATTGTTTTTGAGTAGGTAATTCCCAAGTTGGTCAACTATACATTTTTCTATAATTTTGTCAATGGAGGATAAAATAGGCTGTATGCCTATTACTATAATTTTTAGTATTACCTTACTTATAAATAGGACGCACTATAGCCTCTTTTAACTTACTAGGAAAACTATGACTAGTCACAGATAAGTTAACCAACTTTGATATTACCGGGGATACCCTGTCTATAGCAAAGTTTAAATACGCTCCAGATCACAACCGGGTGACTTATTTGAACTCATATTATTTATGATTTTCTTAACATGATGATTTTTCACCACCTCATCTGCCTGTCTGCCCTTTTGACATAACTATCCCTGCTCAGCCATTTAGTGTCACAATTATGTTTTATTTGTTCAATTTCATTAAAACTTTGGCAAAACTGTTGCAAATGTCACTTAGGTCAGCCTGAGAACTGAAATTAGATAAAATGAAACTATCTAAGTTAGGTCTACTATTTCCCATCAGTATATGAATTCTTTCCCATATTTTCTTTACATTTTTATTACAATCAACCATACATTTTTTATCATATTCATTATTACATTTAAACAATAATTTTGTACATTTGTTCCTATATCTAGTATAATTTAATCTTTTAAACACATTTTTTTTTGGTTGATTACTCCATACTACAAACAGTCTATCCCTTTCTTTTAACATGATTTTTAATTTATCTGTAATCTAGCTTTTGTTATTTCTACACCTAATACGAGTTATCTGATTTTTAAAACACTGATTATAAATGTCAGTAAACAACTTCCTAAAGGCAGTGTACAACATTGTTGATCATAACATTACCCGCGTGATGCACCACTCGGAAACAGTACGCGCGTGATGCATTACCCGAAACATTACCCGTGTGATGTATTACCTGGAACAGTACGCGTGATGCTAATATTACAGAGTGATATTTATGATGCGTGATGCTTAGTGTAATGAGTGATGTTGTAATGGTAATATCACGGAGTGATGTTTGTTTATGAGACATCTCATGTGATAGTAATATTGCGCGTAATGCAATGTTAATGCATCTAATTTGGAATATTGCAGTGGAACGATGTTTGTATTAGCACCCAAATTATTTAATAACTTACTAGATGGCGTAATTGAAATAAACCGTAGACAATTTAAACTGAAATTGCACAATTTGTTAATCAATGCTTGATTAAATACAATATTACAATATTTTGATTTTTTTACTTGGTAATCTAGAAGGACATGGATACGCTTTCATACAATCTTGGGCCAAGATGTAAAAAGTTGAAGGTGATATCAATAAATAGCTTATGTATTGTTATATCATCACTGGAAATTATACGAAATTTGTCGATCTGAGAACACAGTTATAAGAGATTTAGTAAAAGTGAGGTTATGTAACAACTTATAATAAAATTAACAGCTGATTTTTGGAGTGAATTTGTTATTTTTTTATATATACAGGGTTATTTTATAAATAGTAACGACAACATAGGAGTATATTACCTACTGACATTATAGACAACTTTCGTTCCATGACTTTTTACAAAACATAATTTACCAAAAATAAACTTTTAAGTTTTTGCTGTACTATCTGACACTGTTTAGATCTGTGTCTGGTAGTAAGTTCAAACAAGCAAGCATCCTCCCAGACGACGCCTACCCGCGCTCCTGCTTTTTGCAGAGTTATTTTATTACTGTTTAGAGCGATCAATTTCAAAATTTTTATTTTTGTATGAATGTAAAGTGTGATGAATTATAAAGTTATGGAACCAAAGTTGTTAGTATTTTGCAATATTTGTAAAATATAACCTCCCAGGACTATATTACTAACATCATAAGCAAAAACTTGGTTCCACAACTTTTAATAATTCATCACATATAACAACCATAACCATCTATACAGGGTATAACCCTTATATATTTGAAGAGTTGGAGGATGTTATGAAATTCAAAAGATTACAGGTAAGGATGTGATGTTTAAACAAAAAAACATTTTCTTAAATAATTTTTTTTAATTTCAATTATATTCCAAATCCTCAGTTCTAAGCTTCATCAAATATGCTGCTAAAGCTAGGTATACTCTTGATATTTCCAATAGCTGAGAAACTTTGTTGAGCAGTGAGCATACTTTATTCAAGCCAATCCATGTATTTGTATGTACCACTTGGTCCTCCATTTAATCTATGTTGTCAAAATGCAGTAAACCAAGATGTAGAACTTCTTATAGGGATATCATATCCTGGATATGCTTGCTTTGCTGTAAAAGTCTGGTACATAATTAGACCACAGGCTGCATTGACTTACAATTATATGGACGTCGGGTCCGCGCTAAAAAGTGTCCGAACTTATAGGGCGTTAAAATCGTATACAGAGCGTCATTCACGCTTTAGTCTTCGTTTGTTCGAAAATTGAAAATTAGACAGTACTGCGATGACATTACAATTTAAATTCAACGTTTTAACTTTTTCATATTCCTTTACATGTCACTATGTTTAAATAGGTTGACTTGGGACATTTTTTTCGTGGTTTTTGTATTAGACCCGTCGTCCATTTATTTGTAAGTCAATGACAGGCTAATTAAAAAATCCCATGCTTCAATAATCAAATGTCAATCACAAAGACAAGTATTGTGTTATAGGGATATAATATTTCACTCTGTACCTCTATGTTGTCTGGTATCTTTCAATAAAGCACCTATTTCCGTTTCTATAGCTCTCATCATGTAGTCTGGTAATACAATAGTAGGTTCAGATTGTTAGTTTCTAACTTTTTCATTTGGAGGCTCAGTGGGAAGATATTGTGTCTATGACTGTATTTATTCAGGATAGCTTCCTTGTGAAGAAATTGATGAGTCCGAGACTATATGGACAGCAGTTCGGTCTGTAGCTACCCAAGTATGACATGCGACGTGCCACTTCTACCTGCAACAAACAAACATAATCATTTAAGTATATTAAAAAATCTATTTGGCTTACAGTAAAAGTAATTATAAAAACATGTAATCTGATTCAACTTACAGTTTGAGGCCTAATCCATTTTTTTATAACATTATAAATTCTCAATTCACAATTTGAGTTCATGTGAAGAAGATGGCTGACTTGTGATGCAGTGAACGCTCACAGCAGAGGCAAACACTATGGTGGTCATCAATACTGCCTTGGTGCTTGCAGCAAGCTTGGCAAACATGGTCACTGCTGGTTTAAGATATTTAATCTTTAGGAACCTTTTAAATGTTTATTATCCGTCATTTGCAAAATTAACGGTAAAGAAAGACCTAGTAAGGAAACCTATAGGTCAGGTAAGTTAACAAATAAGAGGTGAGTACTTACAAATTGTGGTGCAAGCCATTAACGAATTACTGACAGTATCGTTTCGTCATCGTAGGCTCGTCGACCTATTCAAACAGCAATCCATGGTGTTTATATATCCAATCAATAAGCCGGCAGTCAACTCAAAATAACGAGTCCATTGTAGAAAGTCGTGGTCGAGGAATAAAACAATGGAGAACATTCAAATTATACGAAATCGGTACGAATTACGAAACGAGAGATCATTAGTATTTATGTAAATCTTTCCGGGGTTCTCAGTTAACTCACTCAGTGTTGGGTCATTGTGCCCGCCATCTTGCATTTAGAAATGCGAAAAGTCGTGTCAGCCATCATATATTCCGATTTAAATGACATTTCCATAAGGATAAACAAAAATATTTTTTTCGAAAATTCTTGGCAACCATCTTGGATTTAGAAATTAATGCCACATTCTCATTGAATGAGAATGTGGCACTAATTTCTAAATTCACTCCCACTCAACCCGAGCACTCCCAAACAACTCGAAACGTCTATAATTCTCGTTGTTGATCGACAATGTCGTAGGCACCTTTAGAATCCGTTCGCTACCTTTATTTTGTCAAAATAATCAAAATTAATACTACCATTAAATAGTTACAAAACTCGATTTACGAAAAATATTTGTAAATAGTTTTCGCCTTGTTTATGGGATTTTTACGTTTGTTTAACACTATTCTTCACACTTGTATTCGAACATATCTAATAGATTTATTAGATACGTTAAGATATGAGAAATACGCGCACTCCGCTTGACGCCTAGAGCGAGAACGTTGTCTGTGTGTGTCCATGGCACCCGCGACACAGGGTTTTCCTAGTGCGGGGCTATGTTGAGTGTGTGCGTTATTTATTTATTTATTTCTTGAACGCTACCAGGGTACAATGGCTTATTTTTTCTTAAGATTTATTGTATAGTTCAATCTTCCTTTTTGTTTAGTATTCGCAGGCCAGAGACTTATAAGCTTATAGTAGGCCCTTGTATTATTTAATTAATTTACTCTTGTGCTATTTAAAACTTAATAAGACATTATTCCAGTACCTTAAGAAAAGCAGCTCCAAGCCCAGATCTCGGTACCGTGAGTCGAGGCAAAGTAGTCCAGCAGTTGTCATCTAAGTTGAAAGCTTCGAACAGATCGATGGAATGTCTGCAGTACCCACCCGCCACGTAGATTATGCGAGGCGTGTTTGGTCGACGTTCTTTAACAACTGGCCTTTTGTGTAATGTTAGATCCTGGAATATTTAACATGGGAAGATTCGATAATGGCAAATAGACTAAGAAAATAAAAAATACTTATTTTTAGCAATAAGTCACTATAGACAGTTTTCTACGGGCAGCTACAGCTCCCATATCTTTTCTACATAAGTTTTAACTAGAAAGTTTCAGCTTTTAAAATTAGAGTTATGATTTTTTTCTAAAAAAGTAATTAAAACGCTTTTCTGTAATATTTTCCAAATGCACGTTTTACCTTTCCAGCATCGATATGTATATAGATTACCTTGAAAATCTTAGCAAGGTATTCTCTGCAGGCGGGCACTTTTTTGAGTACGGTACATGTGCTCATTTGTTCTTTCAAGAAGCTAGGAGTGAGGTACTGGCATCTGACAGCTTGTAATATATGCTCCATCCGCGGATGTCTGCGGTCTTCATCGTATTTCACCTAACATTTGAAAGAAACTACATGAGCGAGGGTAGAGTATAAATCACATTGATATTAACGTCAGTCACATGAACGTTGCTCTTACGATATGTTACTAACATATTTATTTATTGAATGTGTACTCAATGTTATGAAATCTCTTCACAATAATAATAGCATACTAGTGAATAAATTCGGTGAATTATTATATCAACTAACATAAACTACAGAAGCCTGAAACGGAGTTAAAAGAAGCTGAATGGTGCGTGGCTTCGTGACGTGACGAAAGTTCAGAGGAGAATATTTCTTATAAGGTATGGTCAACAAGCATGAAGTTAAGCCACAACAAAAAAAAACAGTAATACATACCATGCCCTGGTACCTAACTCAGACGCCTATTATTTATCTGTGAAACATACCATTTAACCCTGATATCGGGAACTTTTTTGTCATTTTTACCACTTTCTCGCGTGGCATATTTAGATTGGAATATTTATTTTTTGTAATGAAGTAGTTAATTTCTTATTGCAAATCGGCGGTTGAATCAGTACATTTGATATTACGTGAACAAACTTAATGTGGACCAATGACATATACGTAGGTATCTCTTTTTGGCTGTTAGATGTCGCTCAACGGTGAGAGACTGACAGTTGTAGATATCAGTCAGGTTACATACTATTTAGTCATTTGAGTTTAATTTAAATATGATTTTATTTCTAGACTTATAAAGGCCTTTAGAATAAATTGAAAAATGTAATGACATTATTTTATTTTAACTTGTAATTATGAAAAATTTCTTTCTTTTAACAATAATTTCGCATTATTCTTTATATTCATATTTTTGTCGTGAATACTCCACTAGTTTGCTATTATTATTGATACAGAGAAAATCACTAAGAAAAATTCCTTCAATGTGACTGCACTCAAAGCAAAGTTTGAATGCCTAACCAACTGCTCTTCCAACAGGTCGGCAAATATTACGAATTTCTCTATGTGCTTGTTGAGGATCTTTGTAATAGGATTTAAACGGCTCTTTTGCCGTAGCAATTGTAAAAAACGTTGAAATTTCAAAGCCTACAGTACGACTAGAAGCCAAACACTCGGTACAAACAAAGATGATAATTATATGTGACAAACAATCGTTGCAAAACAGCAACAACAAGCAAAATTGGCGAGTCATTCGCTTTATTACAATGTTTATAAAGTACATAAGATAAGGTTCAATGAATCGTGCAAAATAACGACGTATCGTTCATTGTGCATTATGCAAAATTTGAGGTCCATTTCGTCCGTGAATAGAGTAGACGATTTTTTAGCCATAATACGTAAAAGATAAGACAAACAAACAAAATTAACAGATTTTAGACAAGTATTTTCTTACGGGAGTGAGCGATTTCGCCAATATTATTATTATAATTGTAAGGACAGTATGCGTAATGTGCTTTTTAACCATTAGAATGTTCTAAAATTCACTAATCATGCGTTAAAAAAAAATCTCCTTTCACAACTTATTGTAAAATAGTCGACAACAACATGACTATTGAAAATTTTACAAAAAGTGGCATTTTGTAGGATAAACGTCATCTTACACTGTCTTGGAATGAATGTATAGCAATATACAGGCTGTCCAAAAACTCAACGATAACCTGAGAACATGATGTTCCTGAAATTGTGACAACCCAGAAAAAAAAATTTAAAAAATCGGAGTCATTTTCATTGTTCCCCAGTGGACGCCCGATGGGTGCTCAAGCCTGTGATGTCGTCGTAACAGCGTGCACGATGAGGATTGTTATTTGTTTGGAATTATATAAAGATTCTGGTAGGATTTAGGTTAGGTAGGAAGCTTGAATAAAGAATTAAGGTTTTATAACTAGGATACCTAAATACCTAGAATAGCTAATAAATATATTTAGATTGTTTGATTAGGATGTTTTCATAGTCTGTCCTTTTAGATAGATTTTTGGCAGATTAAAGCCACAGCCCCTCGGTGGTTTTGCTTGTTAGTAAGTGATAGCTTCCGAGCAGTGTGTGGCTGGCCTATAGTAAAGGCTGATCACATATGTATGTTGCCTATCATAGGTAGGGCACTAGCTAGGGATGTTCATCCCTTCAGTTGTGAGGAAGAGGGATGTAGTACAGGCAGCTGAGGTTTTGTATTTAGAATTGGAAGAATAATAGTGTTGATGTCAAACAGACACCTAAGAGTTCTGGACAAAGCTTTGAAATTAAATACACGTACAAAGTTATTATTATGATATAATCGTCGTTTATATTTATAAAGTACCTCTCGCTACGCTACCCAAGCTACGTCTCATGCTATCCTTGACCGTTTGAAGTGCCAAGTTACATTGAAAAAAAAAAAAGAATCTGCTAAAAATTTCAAGAAAAAACAAAATACATTATTTTTGTGCTGAAACTTTAGCAATTCGGGCTTTCTTTGGCATTGTGTCCCTTAGCTGAGCTATTTAGGTTACCGCTACAATAACTCGAACAGCAAAATTAGCAAATTTGTGATTGTAGTACTAAAAAATGGCGTACAGGTCGTACATTTTCAACATTTTTCATTAAAATGCTTACATCACAAAAAAAGACTGCGATTTTTTAAATATTTTTTTTCTGGGTTGCAACATCCTGTTCTCAGGTTATCGTTGCGTTTTGGAACACCCTGTATAGGTATTTTTTGTGACGCCTGCAATACAGACAGCCCTCGAACCTATAACGCATTTAGTAAAAAAATCAGTGTATCCAATCAAATAATGTGAACATATTTCAGAATCTTTAAAACGACTTGATTTTTATAGTTATAATATCAAGTGACGGGACGAACAAGTCGTGTGCCTGATGGTCTACACGTCTGTCCATAACAGTTACACTGCCACTCAGAGCTTTAAATCGCAAAGATCTGAGGGGCACTGCCACTGCACCTGTCGCTCAGAGAAAAAGTTGACAAGTCACATGTGCCTGTAATTTCACCAGAAATTACTATTAGAATTAAAATCCTTAGTAATTAAGTCTGTAGTATTACAACTTACCCAATTTATGACAGCGTTGTAAACTTCTCGTTCTTCCTTTACGTTCAGCTCGTCCTTTCGTATTAAACATATCAATTGTTGTACAGTCAGCTGAAGGAATTCTTCTTCTTGGCATACCTAAAATATAAAATTATAGTTTATTTTTCACAGACGGCGCTCACTGGTATTTAACATGGCACAACAATTATCGAATGTTTATCATAATGTAAGTGAGCAAAAAATGCGACAGTATATTTAGTAAAACATTAAAAAAATATTAGTAATCTAGATTGACAAAATCATTCAATTTGTCTTTGTTATCATATATATTAGCAGGTTTATAGTTTTCCATGAATTCATGAATCATGATTCAAGTTTTCTAGCAGACTATTATTACGTTGTAGACTAATCGTACATGTTTACACACGTTATCGAATTTTACAGGTCAAGGACGTGAACATTGAGCACGTCGCTTAAAGAAAATTACAATAACACTGTTTTCTACTTAATTGCATTTGTTTAATTACATTCACATGGTATTTATCTTTTACAAAATGTATCTACAGTTTGATGATAGATAAAGAAATATCATTAATAATAATATTAGGGGTTAAAGTATGAAATTGCCGTTTTATTGCAATAGGTTCTTTGAATTTTCATAGAATCTTCATGGTTTGAGGTTTTCGAATGAAACTTTTTTCAAATGGTTTCTGTGATTTTTTTTTTTAATTTGAAACATTTGAATATCGACTTTTAATTGTTTTTGTTATTCAATTTAGACAAGAAAGATGGATACTGCGAAAATTCGAGTGATTTTTGAATACGAGTTCCGACGCGGAACTAACGCGGCAGAAACAGCCCGCAATATCAATGCTGCGTTTGGAGAGGGGTCTACTAATGAACGCACCGTGCGATTTTGGTTTAAACGCTTTCGTGATGGAAATTTCGACTTAAAGAACGAGCCACGAGGAAGACCGCCCACACAGGTGAATAACGATGAATTAAGAGAGATAGTGGAAGCCGATCCTAGTCAAACTACCCAGGAATTAGCGGCATGGTTTAACGTTACCTTACCCACAATATTGACTCACTTGCGTCAAATCAATAAAATAAAAAAATACGAAAAATGGGTGCCTCATGATTTGACTGATCTGCAGAAAGAAACGCGTGTTGAAACTTGTGTTGCCTTGTTGAACCGGTACAGGAATGAAGGAATATTGGATCGAATTGTAACATGTGATGAAAAGTGGATTCTTTATGATAACCGGAAAAGAAAAATGCAATGGCTGACCCCAGGTCAAATGCCACAACAGTGTCCTAAAGCAAAACTTACCAATAAAAAGGTAATGGTAACTGTTTGGTGGTCTCAGCATGGTGTTATTCACTATAGTTTTCTCCGATCCGGTCAAGCAATAACGGCAGATGTCTATTGTGCCGAACTCCGAACCATGTTGACAAAACTAGCAGTAAAACAGCCCCGACTCATGAATCGATCTTCACCATTATTGCTCCACGACAACGCGAGACCTCACACAGCACGAGAAACCATTTTGACCCTTCAGGAACTGCAGTTAGAAACCATTCGTCATCCTCCGTATTCACCAGACCTTGCTCCAACGGACTACCATTTTTTTCGTGATTTGGACAATTATCTACGTGACAAGAAGTTTTCTTCCCAGGAGGCAGTACAAAATGCTTTCACACAGTTTGTGCAGTCTAGATCGTCGGAGTTCTATCGCAGAGGCATTAATAACCTTCCCATTAGATGGCAGCAATGTATAGATAATAATGGCAACTATTTTGATTAAATAAATTTGTTAAAAATTTAAAAAATAAACAATTTAGATTTTCAGTACAAATCGGCAATTTCATACTTTAACCCCTATTATAATAGGTATAAATAAAAAAAAAATAATAAACAATAATGCCCAAGCTTAAATACTTATTTTTTACTCATTACATATCTATTTACACAAAATTATCTTACGTATAGAATATCTAGGTTTCTATTGGTTAAACGGATTGAGAACATTGGATTGGTATAAAATTAGTCGGCTTTGCGCGACAGATAGGCCTCATTTTTTCTAAACTTGGTAAATTTGGAACAGACAGCTACTGTAGAAGTCCTTAATACATTGTGTCTATACACAACTTATTGTTATTTTACATTTAATATTGAGGAGCAGGTGCTATAAACTTTGCTTATGTTAGTCCACGATTCAGCAACAAAGAAATAAAAGATTTTCGTTTGTGTATTAATATTACATTTCTGTATCACATTTCCAGACACATTTTTGTATGTATATATAAATATAAGTGATACGTACCATCAACAGTAATGTGTTTTATAATATTGCTAACTTCGGATGACAATGCATTTTTATAAGGACAAAGTATTACAAAACATTTGTTTCCGTTTATAATGTTTCCGTGTGACCGAATCCTAAAAGGCGTTTAAAATGTTATTTCAGTATATTCCACCGTGTGGAAAACCACTAAGAAGTAAAAAACACTACATTTGGCCCATATATACAAATAAAATAAGCATTTGATACGTATAGTACAACTATTTCCTTAATATTTCTCGGCAATCTTCACATTCCGAATGCACCCGAATACAAGGAACAATGCTCAAGTTCCATACAATTTTGGACCAGCTAAAAAAAAAGTTGATGACCATTAATCGCAGATACAGGGTTTCATTTAACTGCCTCCGTGGCCGAACGGTTACCATGCTGGACTGCCACGCAAAGGTCCAGGTTTCGAATCCCACCTACCTACATACATTTATTTCTCTCCTGAGTTTGAGTGTAATTTGTGGTTGTCTATGAGTGTGTTCATGGCACCCGCAACACAGTGTTTCCCTAATGTGGGGCCTATGTTGAGTGTGTGTGTTATTATTATTATTTGTTTTTCCACATAGTTTCTAATTATATAGGATTTATATTTTTTTAGCTAGGGAAAGTTGAGTTAAGTAACACTTTCTTTTTGAGGTTATAATAAAATATGATGATTATGAACATTAATATGTTACTCTGTATTAACAGAGTTAAATATTATTCTAGGATAAGTATACTTAAGCACACATTAAAAGTAATACTTAGATTAATTCACGCACGACACGAATGACGTTGCAAAAACTACGATATTTTAAATACTTATACTTTAAAATTTTTTTAATTCATTTTATACGAAAAATAATTTTTATTAAATTTGACCAACTTCTGCTCTACTGATTTTTTTCTTCATATACAATAAAATCATACTTATAAGAAAACGAGTGTATTAGCATTAAAAAAAAATTAGTCAATTTTATTCATTAACTGCCTCCGTGGCCGAACGGTTACCATGCCACGCAGAGGACCCAGGTTCGATTCCCGGGCCGGGAGAAATATTTGTATGACCTACATTTATTTCTCTTGTGAGTTTGGGTGTAATTTGTGGTTGTCTATGTGTGTGTCCATGGCACCCGCGACACAGGGTGTCCCAAGTGCGGGGCTATGTTGAGTGTGTGCGTTACCTATTATTATTATTTTGTATGAAAAATATTTAATAAAATTTAGCCAATTTTATTAAATATTTTGATCAATTTTATTAGTTTTTATGGACAACTCACGCTTGACCAAAAAATTGACTGCCAAAATTGTTTTCACAAAAAAACATTTAATGGTTCCTTAGACATTTTCCTTGTATCTTCTACGGTTTCAGATTTCCCTTACTGTCCCGTTTAAAAAAAAACTCTATATAAGATCATTGGATATCGACATCATAATTTTATTATTATAACTTTTGTTCATAATTATCTTTTTTTTTATAATATCAAGTGACGGGACGAACAAGTCGTGCGCCTGATGGTAGCCTACACGCCTGTCCATAACAGTTGCAGTGCCACTCAGAGCTTTAAATCACATAGATCTTAGGGCACTGCCACTGCTCGTCACCCTCAGACATGCGTTGACAAGTCCCATGTGCCTGTAATTTCACCAGCACCCTTACCCTTCAAAGCGTGAACGCAGTAATGTTGACATTACTGCTTGGCGGCAAAAATAGGTAAGGTGGCAGTACTACCCTGGACGAACTCTTTCACAAGGAGCTCTACTGCTACTAAAATCTCAATGTTGAAGAAATCAAGGCAAGTGTAAACGAGGCTTAAAATCAAATGTTAAAACCTTTCTTTTTACATCTCTCATTACATTCAAAAACAAATATTTACAATGCCTTATTAAGTATTTTAAAAAAATGATATCTTGTTTCTATCCTGTTTAAAAGTTTTATGAACTAAATTTATAACGTATATTAGATGGATATAAATTTTGAAACAGTCGCGACTAAAAAAAATGCGAGTTCATAATGGGCACTGTTCTTTATGTAATTATTACGTTTCTTACTCGTAGTATTCACTAAAGATTGTATGAAAACTTTTTATCTTTAAAGAAGATGTTGCAACAACATGGACTTTAAAAAAACTTAAAGAAACAGAGGTTTCAAGGATGAAATGTAAACGTTATAAAAAATAATAAACATATTATCGTATCATTTACATGTCAATTCTCATTATGTTTTTTTTCCTGTAGTTTGTGGTCTGAAGAATAATTTTATGGTCAATTGGACAATGCTCTTCCGTTTTCGTTTTTCTAATTTTAAGACAAAAGTAAGTATAGTAAATATTAAATTATGATCATCTATAATTTGGATTCAGAACTACTTTGCTGTTGTTTCGTTTTGATTTTCATATTATGAATAAGAGTTGTAAACTATTTCTCTTATTTTAAGTAAGTTAAGTACTATATAAACTGAATAAAGTGTTCTTCTTTTATATAGCCAAAATTGGTCTTAAAATAGTTTTATTTGGATATTAACATTGAATAACGAGTGCATTTCACAGACCACATAAATACTAAGTGCGTTCGTTCTGCACCAAGTGCAATAGTCAGCAGATAGAAAAACGACGACAGCCGAAACACGAAGATTGGCGAGATGCATTAAAAAATAATTGTATTGTAAATTGATTTCGGAGGTATAACAACACGAGCGGACAAAATACAACTGCAAATTAGTTAATAGCTGACATGTTATATATTGACCTTGACATGGTGGGGCTAGTATTGACTTTGAAATTTTACTATTTACTCTCAAACATAGCGAAATCTTACGTGTTAAAATTTATATACATAACATGTGGTTTAAGATATTTACGTACTCTCACAAATAATGACCTACTAGTAATTCACTTACACGATAATGTAAAGAAACACATTACATTTTTTTTTAATGTTCATGGAGGGTAGTAAAAGTACAAAATAATAAAATTTTACCGTAATTCAAATATAACAGTAGACAACAAGATGTCAGGTGCCAACTATATAAGGTATTGTGCATGTACGAATTATATATATATATATATATATAATTATTATACACATGCATGTATGTATAATGCGTTGTTTAATAATTTCTATATGTATGTGTAAATATTTATATCTAGCATCCCCGCTTTTATTCATGTTTAATATCTATATTAATATCTCTCCATCCTAAGGTTGTCTGGAAGAAATCGCTGTAAGTGATAAGAACACCAATTGTTACCCGGCTAATGTGTGTAATTTTTGTCCTGTAATCTCGCTGTGTATGTGGTGCTAACAATAAAGAATTTTCTATCTATCTATTTATCTATAATACATTTTGTTTAAATAGAGATCATTACTCTCGACAACAAACTGAAACTGTATTTAAATTTTTTTAGCTGCCTCTGTGGCCGAACGGTTACCAAGCCGGACTGCCACGCAGAGGTACCAGGTTCGATTCTCGGGCCGCGAGAAATAGTTGTTTGGCCTACAATTATTTCTCTCGTGAGTTTGGGTGTAATTTGTGGTTGTCTATGTGTGTGTACATGGCAGCCGCGACACAGGGTTTCCCTAGTGCGAGGCTATGTTGAGTGTGTGCATTATTGAAATTTTTTTATTGAAAGCTTTCTTACCTGGCTAAAATTTCTTTCAATGAACTGGTTGGCCTTTTGCTTCAAATCAGCGCAGCCATGTTGTTCAGCGAAGTTGGCAATGCCGATAGCGTTGGAAGAATCCAGTTGCTTTTCGAGGAATGAGCAGCAGGCCTCTATCACGTTCGCGATCTGCGGGCACATAGCTACAATACATGTAATTCGCTGAAATGATTTGAATTGACACTCTGGTTGGCTAATTAATATAGAAAATATTGTACGACTTCCTTCAATATTTATTTTTGAATGAAAACAATTTTGTTAAGAGTCTATACTACTTCAGCTCGAAGTAAAAATTTTCCCCTACTAATCATGTACATATATCTTATAGTACCCGTGTTCTATTTAGTTCCGTTGATATTACAAAAAATCATTGGTACTTTAATACAGCGGATTTTGTTTCGGTTTGTGTTTCTTTTCTATCGTGAAAATTTTTAGGAATCGTGTTTACATTCTCAATTTTACTATATATTTTTTCCAAAGTGATTGATTCAACAGTTTTACTGTTATGCGGAATCAACCAAAGCCATTTGAGGTTGTATAGACTCTTAAGCAATTACAATGATACAAAGGAGAAGTGTTATCATCATGCATGCAATAACATGCTTATAATGGTAAAATTATTCAAAATTAAAATCAGTTAAAGGAAATGTGTCTAGTTAATATATTACGCCAAAAGCAAGATGAAGCAAGCTGTGGTAACGAAGGGCATCCCTAACGTGCGGCGCTGTGATTGAAATGATTTCATCACCAAACTTAACAGGGAACAATTTTACAAAGTGGGTTATGCCAATGATATAGCAAAGACTACACTCGGCATAAAAGAACGACAGTGACATATGAACCATCGTTGAACCCAATTAAAACATAACTGGTAATATTTACAAATAAAAGACTAAGTACTAGGCAACTTACTACCCAAACCCCATACTCCAAAACTATAGTTGTCGGCTGTAGTCAAGTATTTACAAGCTATATTAACGAACGAACACTTGCACAACCAAAATTTAAAAAGCTTCAATCACGTTCTACAGTGTTATAGAATAGTTGTTAAGTTAAGTCTCCCCAAAAATAACTCGACGGCCCTACGTAACGGTGATAAGACCTACACTTAGCTAAGGCGCAACAGTATTATTGCCACATACTAGACTAACAACCTGTAGTCGACGACGCGGATTGCACAAGGACGATTCTAACTGCGGCACCTGAAGCAATGCTGGATCTATCTTCAATGCCAGTTATCATCCAGGATGTAACGAAAACGGCGGCACTTGTAACTAGATCTAGTGTATGACCACATATGAGGACTCCACATACAGAAATCCTATACAAAACTGAACAGGAGAACCCACTACTCAAGGCTGCTGTAGACAGGATTCTGTATCAGCACAAACCTTGCGGTTTTTAGACAGGCTTGGGAACATTTCGATTTCGATTGTTCAACGCCAATATAGTCCGAAAATCATAAACTTAAGCGGCAAGAGCTTCATATTCTGACTGCTGCCTTAACTGGTCTTGGTTTATACATGTAATAAACATTTATTTAACTAGCCACTACGACAAGGCCCTCGTGCAAAGCGTGGAGATGGAGGAAATAACCTTGCGAGTCGTACTACAGTGTACCGGAACACCGTGGAATGTCATTCCTGAAGTCTGTTGCCACCCAGAAAAGACACCAGCAATTTCATTGTAGCCTTGGATGGTACAAGTACATCACGCAAAACATACATAACCATCTTACGAGCGCAGCGAGTATTAGCAGTTCTGCGCAGGAGTAATAACAAAGTATTACACTGAGCGTATATTATTCGGTCTGGTTATATTAAATTATATAACAGGACGGTTGTTTTCTGATAAGTCAGGCATACAGAATTCGACCGTCCGTCTGTGAGGCAATGAAAGCCTTTTTGATTTGTGTCTAAAACAATGACCCACAATGAAATGAAATGAAAAAAAAAAATACTTTGATTAGAATAAATAAATAATGAATTAATATGTCGTATACGTACATTATGTATCTTATATCTGCACCAATTACGTATCTCTATTAATATTTATTATTTTATCAGTCGTTGTTTATCATTTATCGTACAATCTGTGACGTTGGCAATGAACTGTGAGAAATATGTGTGATAAACGCTTTTTGCACAAACCTTACTACTATTGCTTTCTGCGTTTCGAAGAATTGTTTATTAAGTATGATATTAAATTTAAACATAGTAAAGTAAACACTGAGCACCGACAAATAACAATAATAAAAATGCCGCAACGGCTAAAAGTCGTTGAAAACCAAATACAATCCGACAACAAGCACATAGAAGAATTCGTGAGGTCCGCTGGTTCGTTCCGTGGCTAAGTTGGTATAGCGTCTGGCACGGTATGCTAGAAGACATCGGCTCGAATCCGGCTGGATGGAAGGATTTTTTCTAAGTGTGCGATCTTTGTATTAATAATATTATAACAAACTAGTGGAGTAATTTCACAAAAATACTTGAATATCAATTCAATGCAAATTTAATAAAAATGTAATATATTTATATATTAATTATTAATTTAATAAAAATGTATATTGTTTTCAATCAGGGTTTTAGTACAACTGTCAGCTACTTTTAGTAATACAAATAAATACCTACACAGATCTTCAACTTCGTTTGTAAAATACTCAAAGGAAGGGAAGACTTTTTTATTAAAACGTCGTCTGCATCAAAACGCAAATTTCGAGGCTTGTAGTATTTTATCTCAAGATTTTTTTTCAAAACCGGAACACAGTAATGCTGACATTACTGCTTGGCGGCAGAAATAGGTAAGGTGGCAATACTACCCTGGACGAACTCTTTAACAAGGAACTCTACTGCTACTAAATAATTTATGCACTGATAAAAAAGTCACATTTTGTATTTTATGCCGATGTTTGGTTCATATGCGCATACAAATCCAGCACGCAGTGAATACAAGTAGCTTAAAGCGATTTAACGTACCTGGAACATAGTAGCAGCTGGCAGTAACTGACACACAGTAACTTCAGTGATCCTGATCTTTCCCGTGTACATGAAGTAGACCAACCACGCCATAGCTGAGGGACACACGCCTTGCAGTCGAACGCGTGACATTTCGCATTCTTTCAGACCGCTTGTGAACATTGCCTGAGGTAAAGGAGTTTATTAAAAATCAGTATTTTGCCCAGCCGTTCCATTGATAAACACTTTTAGAGTTAAAGTAAAGAGCTAAAGAATTACAACAATACAAAAATTTGTAAAATTTGAGCACCGGGGAATTCCTATTTGTTAATCAGCGCTAGTGGCCTGCTTATTTTACGACCCTTGTAATATTTATTAAGTAAATCATGTAATGATGATACTAAATAAAAATGCAAATATATTTAGATTACAAGTCGGTTTGGACTAAATTACCTTTCAAATCAAGGAATTACTTTATGTTGTTTATTGTTTCCACATGGATTAGTCATCCTTGTAGAAACAATAAACAACATACATAAAAACTACTACAACCGAAAAATGACCGTTAGGTTTATTAAATCTCTGGGATCCACTAAGGTTGAGATTTATAAAACTAACTTTTTAGTATTTACAAAACTAACTTGCCTAAGTTTAAACAACAAATTACGAAGTGAAGTTTAATTTAGTTTCTTGCTTAAACTTAAGCAAAATTCATTTTGTAAATACGAAAAACTTGCCATACTCGTCAATATCATTACAAAAATTCGCTTCCATTCCGTTCCGCAGCAATATAAATTGAGCCTTAGACTAGGTAACGTACAAAGCAAAGAAAATTATTCACAGTACGCTCCTGGAATCGAAGCTTGAAATTCTCGACCACTGCAGTAAAGTGGCCTGTTCGTCGTATTTCTATCAGGTACTTTCGGAGATGTGCGTATGAACTTTAGAATTTAATTGCACCCTTAAAGTTCGTCCCTCTGTCGAATTGAGAGTCTGAATCAATGCTTATGTCATTGATATAACACTAATTCGCACTTTTGCTTTCTCTTGCCTAATGCGTACGGCAAAGAAATGGAATATACTACCTACTTCCCGATAACTACAAGTTGGGGCCATTCAAGGCTACAAAGCGTGCGACTATTTCACGTAATAATTATAACCTTTTTATAAAAAAAAGCGACCTTAAAATGTTCGTGGAATTTCCACGGGAAATCATATCTATTTGCCAAGTTTAATTGAAATCGGTTACCGGAAAGTGCGTGAAATCGGGTTCATCCCCTAGTTTGCCACCCGTAGAAGTGACATATTTTCTTCAAATTTAAATGGGAGGAATACAGAGGTATCCTCTTTGCAACAAAAAAAAGAATTATCAAAATCGATTCACAAGTGTCGCGACTCACGCGATAATCAATCATTTGGTGAGTAAACGAACTTCACCCAATTTTTGTATTGTGGTAACACTGCTTTGCCTTAACTAACTTTTTATTTTGACACTATCGAGACGGCAGTAACGTCAACGGCAATGGCGGGAACCGAGTGGACTTCAGTTTGGTTAAAACTGAAGATATGGCTGTGTAAGTGAATGTACCCTAAGAGACAAACAACTGGTAAGTTCCTCTATGTACTGTTTAACTTTGCGACATGCCTAGACACGGTGGAAAGACACACAACTAAGTTAATTGTCGAATTTAATATTGTTCTATGTATGTTCTATGACTATCAATTTGCCACGTGCTGACTCGACCCGCAGTAGACTAGCCTCATTGACGCTTATGACTGTGGGTGCCTATCGTTGGCATCAATCGGGTCGGTATTAGCTGGCATGTACACTTGCACCGCGATTAATAGCTATCGAAGCTTGAAACCTGTTGGGCAGAGGTTGGACTAAAGGGGAGGCTGGAGGTCCACTCGCGGCACCTCTCAGGTGTCCCGCCCCAGTACATAGGCGAGATGTGCTGGGGGTTTATACGCGACATACGAGGTACACCTCTACGGTTCCTCGTCATAGCGCAATGTAGTGAACCATGAACGTTTTAATCATGGTTCAGTGTCTTTCTACCCGCTTATATGTATACCTATAAATTAAGTATCTTTTGTCGTCCCTCAACATCTACATTGAGAATATTTGAACCAGGTACATAGGTATTACAGTCTAGTCTAAATCCAATAAATAACAAAGTGGTGACAAAATTTGGTGGAGGTGCTGGGATCCATTGACAAACTTACGTTGACTAAAACATATCACTATGGGAGTCGGACTCTATCGGTCGCGCTGTAATCGAGCAGTGGCACTCGGTCCTTTCACTTCACTGCAAACAAGCAACGATAGGACACCGATGGAGTTCGAAACAATTTTAACGTAGGAACAAGGCAGTTTATGTGGTTGTTACATCCTCAGTTACAGACAACGAGATCTGTGACGCCAGCGAGGGCCGTTCAACGCGGTTACTGTGACCACATAAAATAACAATACTCTTATGCGCAAGTCGGTTTATGTGGTTGTTACATCCTCAGTTACAGACAACGATATCTGTGACGGCAGAGAGGGCCGTTCAACGCGGTTACTGAGACCACATAAAATAACAATACTCTTATGCGCAAGTCGGTTTATGTGGTTGTTACATCCTCAGTTACAGACAACGATATTATCTGTGACGCCAGCGAGGGCCGTTCAACGCGGTTACTGTGACCTCATAAAGTAACAATACTCTTATGCGCAAGTCGGTTTATGTGGTTGTTATATCCTCAGTTACAGACAACGAGATCTGTGACGCCAGAGAGGGCCGTTCAACGCGGTTACTGTGACCACTTAAAATAACATAATCTTATGCGCAAGTCGGTTTATGTGGTTGTTATATCCTCAGTTACAGACAACGAGATCTGTGACGACAGCGAGGGCCGT